GGAACCCGAATCCAGGCAAACAAATGGGGCTGAAAAAAACCACGTAACCAAATGGGCTAGTGACCAAGACACACTCAACGTTTCCCTCAGCTTGACTAAACATTAGACAGGCTCCTTCCTGACTCTAGGCTCCTGAAACCCTTTTTCTTTGAGCGTTTCCTTTAGACACTTTACAATTGTAAATTCTTTTTCTGCCTCTTTGAGATGCAAATCTTCTCCCAGTCTATTGCCAGTTTTACAACCCAGGAATGTCTTTCTTAAGGACCCAAGAACCATTCCTTAGATATGTAATCATAGGAGATAGCCCCTCTATCTCCCAGTCTCCGGTGGGAGGGTAGAAAGCCTAACTTCCAGAAGGGACAATTAGCAAATGCTGATGACCTAATCACTTTGACCAACCTCCTCCCTACTGGAGTACTCTTACTGAAGTACCTCTACCTAAGTACTTCTCAAGTACTTTTCCACTGTCTCCCATCTTTTGCTCCAGCAGAGTTGAGTTTGATACCTCTCCCCTATTGCGAGTCTTGAATAAACTCTTCCTTGCCTGTTTAACTCACATTTGGGATTGTTAAAATCAAGTGAGGCCTGAATGATGGCTGGCAATAAAACTGTTATCCTATTCCGTTTACTCTTTCATTTTTTTAATACTTTTTCCTCTGTCCTCAAACCTCTCATATCTCTACCTCATTCTCATTCTCATTTCATGACTTGCTTTCTAGATCACTAAGAAGATAAAAGATATCGCAGCAGGTTTTCTACAGATCCAGCTCCTCCATCAACCCACCTACCCTCATGCTTGCCCAGATAGTCTGCCTTGTCTGTCTCTGTAGTTACCAGAGACCCTCTTCTCTTGTGTTTACTCAAGACACTGCTTGTGTAGACTTCCTCTCTGTTTCCTGCTTCAACATTCCTTGTGCTACAACAATCTCTTCTCTTCCCATCCACTACCCCGTTTCTCTTCTTGCCTTTTTCAACAAAATTCACATGCAAGTTTCACAGTCTCTTATTTGAAACATTTCTTCTCTTGGATTTTAAGGCAGAAAATGCTCCTAGTTTTCCTCCTTTTTTCATAAGCTGCTACATTGCCCAATCTCTTAAAATGGAAATGTTAAGGATCAATCATCAAGGCTTTTTTCTATCTATTCTGCTTTTTTCATTCATTTATTCATTCGTTCCCTTATCCCCATAGCTCTTGCTTCTGCATTCTGCTATAGGGAACCATTCACATGTATCCAACGTGTAACATTTTGTTTGCAATGACTCTTAGCAAAATGCTTTTTTGTGCATATATACTTTGAGGTATGTAAATATTTTATCAATTATCTCAATTTTGTTTGGTTTTATGTTTTTCTGTCAGCATAATGTTTTTAAGATCCATTCATTCCATTATCATAATTAATTGGTGGTTGCTACCTGCCGCAGAGTTCTGCCTTGCATGGCCAACAGCTCCCTGCTATACAAACAATACTACAATAAACCCTGCACCTGCCAAGGACCCTCAAGCTCCTGTTTCCCATACCCTATCTCCCGGAGCTTCTAATCTTCCCACCCATCAGGTACTCTTCCTCAAGTCTTCTCCATTTCAGTGAATAATAACTCCATCCTTCCCGTTATTTACATCCGAAATGTTGAGGTCACCCTTGATTCCTCTCTTTCTTTCATGCCACACATCTACTGCAACAGGAAAGCTTTTCAGCTCTCTCTTCAAAATACCTTTAGATTCTGACTGTTTCTTAATATCCCACCATGGGGAGCAAAACCACCATTACTTCTCTCCTTGATTGTTGAAGCAGGCTCTTAATCTTTTCTCAACAGAGCAGCTCCAGCAGTCTTGTGAAAAATTTAAGTCAAATAATTTCATTGCTGTGCTTAGAGCTATCCAATGGCTTTCATATCAGCCCAAGTAAAAGCCAAAATAATTGTAATGGCTTAAATGGCCCTAAATGATCTGCCTGTTCCTGTAACACTCCACTCACATCTTCCTCTGACCCTTTACTTTGGTCCTGTCACACTGATCCCCTGGCTGTACCTGGAACTCCTCAAACACACTTCCTGGAGCCTCTACATACGCTCTTTCCTTGGCTCCGACAATTCATCACTTCTTTATTCAATTGACAATTCAAGTTACAAGTACTAATCCTCCAACTCCGCATACCCTCCCTCCTCACTGAAATTCTTCTCTTTAGCATTTATCTTTATTGGACATACCATACATTTTTAAAAATTATTCTGTCTACTGTCTATCTTCTCTATGGCTGCCACCCAAACAATGTAAGCTTCAAAAAAACAGGTTTTTGTTTTGCTTTGTTCTGTTTTTTCATTGCTGCATGCCCAGAGCACAAGAGTGCCTGGAATATAGTAGGCATTCAATAAATAATTGCATAACAGATAAAAACAGTCAATACGAAGTCTCATTCTAAGCACCCTGAAGAGCAATAAGGGAAATTTACATGTAAGAAAGATTCAGATGGGGAAGCACATTTCTAAACTACCCTTTTCTCCAGAGCTGACCATTTGCATCTCATTTCATTTCTACGTACCCAATTAAACCTTCCTTGGGAATGCTGCTTAAAAGCTCCTAAAAAAGCAAAAATGTTAATCTGATCCTGCCTCTCCTTCCATTTCCCCAGGTTTAAAAGCCTGTAAAGGTTTTCTCTGGCTAAAAGGATGAAATCAAAGTATCTCACCCAACCTCCTAGGTAGGCACTTCAAGATCCATCTCCAGGCACATTCTGCATTCCAGCCTTTATTCATCCACTTGGTTCCTTCTGTCTATAATAATCCTTCATACAGTCAACTCCTACTTACTTTGCAGATCTGTGCTCAACATATTTCCTCAGAATATTTCCATAGCCCCTAGACTACATTGGTTCCCATTTCATGCTCTTAGCAGCTCATATCTTACACTTTGGTTTGGATCACAAGTCCAATTAATCAATTTTTATGTAATTAGTTGATGACTATGAATCTCTCCTTTTAGAATGTAAATTCCATTAGGGAAGGACTGTGCCTATCTTATTCCCTGCTATATCCTAGGACCCCTAATTATAGGGGATACTCAGTGAACATTTGCTGAATAAAGGTCAAAAAGGAATGAACATGACCTGTAACAAAGACTTTCCTTTGACCCAACTTGAGTCAGGCTCATCTGAGTCCTCTTCCTGACTACGCCCCTGAACTTGTGCTCTGTCCTTGGCTCCTCTAGTCCAGTTTGAGCAAGAATCATGTCCAGTCAGTTTAACAAAAGTCCCCCATCCTTGATACTAGATTAAATTTCTTACCCATCACCTTGATATCCCATCACCCTGGCCTGCCTTCAGCAAAAATCCTATAAGCTTGGTTTAGCTAGAATCCCATTACCTCCGATGTTTCCTTTTAGTAATTTTCTATCCACTGAGCCCCACGCTGCTCTTGGCTATAAATCTCCACTTGTGCTTGTATCTGGAGTTGAGCCTGATCTCTCTCCTCAACGACACTGTTGTAGTCTCCCTTGAATAAAGTCTGCCTCATTGTCTTTAACAGGTACCTGAACAATTTTTCTTTAACACCAGGAATGTTAGCCTCACCTGAATTGTCTCTGTCCCATGATTTTGCCTGTGCTGCCTGGTTAACCTTCTCAATTCATGAATTCATGTTTTGTTTGCCCAGTCTGATTTATAGTAACTCTGTCCTCCACCTTGCCCACCTCAGCTAGGGCATCCTACTCTGGACTCATGGTGGGCTTTGCCTTCACATTTACTGTTGTGGGGGACTGGCATTGGCCACCCCAAATATGTCTCTTTGGCATGAGGATTATTTGGGGCTGGTTACTTTTGGTAGACTGCAGACAGGAAGGAGGCTCTGGGGAGTGGAACTTGCTTGCCCTTTGTTAGGAGACATTTACATTGTAAAGGAAATCTCCATCTGTAAAGGTGTCTCCCTCTCTGTACCAGGAAGAAGGGGGGATAACCTTATCTCTAGAAACTCTTCATCAATGCCAAAGGCAAGGACTTAGATCTGCATTTGTTTGCTGTACTTTTGTGGTAATCTCCCATGATCGACTCCCCCTCCACTCCCAACATCCTCCTTTGTCGTTAGCTGAAGATGATATTTAAGGTGGGGGCTTCAGCCATTTGGGAGAGTTGCTCAGCTTGCCTGAGCCTCCCATGTATACATGTCATAAAGCTTTGTTTAATTTTCTCCTGCTATTCTGTCTCATGTGACTTTAATTTGTTCTCAGGCCAGAATAACCCAGAGAGGGTAGAGGAAATGTCTTCCTCCCCTACACTGTCCTTGTATTCCCATTAATCCATCTGTACTTCCTCAGCAAAGGAGGACAGATAATTTTCATCCTTTTCAACCTAAAACAGAACTCATATGTTCAATACCTTTAGGAGAACAACTTTAGACAGTAAAACTTGTCTGCTTTATATTTGGTCTGAAGCTCGTGGACTCAAGCGGACAAACTTCTTTCTGTTAGTGCTCAGTTATGAATCTCAAAGAGTCAGCCTATCATTAAATAGCCTAATGTGCATGGCTTCTCTTCTTCAAATTCATGGCTCCATAGGTTCAGAGAAAAGAAGTAACAGTGACACTTTCACATTCAGGCATAACATTACATGCATAAAATATTTTTATATGCTAATAAAATATGTACCCAACTGCTAATTCCTGTTGTAAATTTGCTGAAATGAAGCTTCAGAGTGGGAATTACTACAATCTTGCTTTACACTGATTGAAATAAGAGAGAAATATGCCATCTCCCATTCTTGGAAGTCAAAGTAACATTATATTTGCCACAACGAAAAGTTTTCTTCCCTCTGTGCTAAGTTGGCTTGCACATTTCTAACTGTGTACAAATGTCAGATGGGCTGAGCTGCCTTTAATTTGAAGCCAAATATATAGCTCATTCCAGAGCTTAAAAGTATTTAAAAGGTCTCTCAACAGTTCTTAATTCATTGTCACACAGCTGTGATGGGCTGGGTCCTATCTCAAAAAGTTCAAGGGCTAAAACCAATTACCTCTTCAAGGACGTCAGCAAGCTTACTGAGGATTTCTTCAGGAAGGCTCTGGAATGTTGGTACGCTGAAAAACAAAATATAGAGATAATGCTGAAGGCACGAACAGCAACTGACTTTCATAAATAAAACAGTGATATACCTGAATGAAAATCTAAAAAGCATTTCATGACAAAGAAGGTGCAGATGAAGATCAAAGCAATAACTTAAGCATCATTTGATGACTAACAGGGAAAAGTCATGTTGTTCTAGAAGGAAGTTGGAGGTTGGACAGAATTGAGACCAAATCCTACTTATATTTACCTGTGTAACCTTGGATGCCTCAGCTACATTGAGGAGAAGACCATTCTCTCCCTTATCAGCCTGCTGTCACCAGATTCCCTTCACTTCAGTCTTTCTAAGTCCCCCTCCACACTCAACCACACACATGCACACAAATACACACATGCATGCACACCTTCTATAGGCCAATTCCTTTTTTTTTCTTTTTGAGGAAGATTAGCCCTGAGCTAACATCTGCTGCCAATCCTCCTCTTTGTGCTGAGGAAGACTGGCCCTGAGCTAACACCCATGCCCATCTTCCTCCACTTTATATGTGGGATGCCTGCCACAGCATGGCTTGACAAGCAGTGTGAAGCTCCATGCCTGGGATCTGAACCAGTGAATTCTGGGCTGCCAAAGCAGAACATGTGAAGTTAACTGCTATGCCACTGGGCGGGCCCTATAGGCCAATTCCTACTCATTCTATGTGTGTGTGTGTGTGTGTGTGTGTGTGTGTGTGTGTGTGTGTGTGTTGTGAGGAAGATTGGCCCTGAGCTAACATCTGTTGAAAATCTTCTTCTTTTTGCTTGAGGAAGATTGTCACTGAGCTAACATCTATGCCAAACTTCCTCTATTTTATGTGGGATGCTACCACCGCAAGGCATGACCAGCAGTGCTAGGGCCACAGCCAGGATCTGAACCTGCAAACCCCAGGCCACCAAAGTGGAGTACGTGAACTTAATCACTATGCCACCAGGCGGCCCGCCTACTCATCCTTTAGGACACAGCTTTATTGATGATACATTCAATTCAGACTTTCAAGCATTCATTCAGTAGCATTGGAAAGCTTTCTACTCTCCCCAACTCCTTCTCAGATAGGTCAGGTCCTCTTATTATGAGCTCTTTTATCCCTTATTACAATGGTAATAAGATAATTAATCAGATATTTGTTACTGGATGTCTTCTCTGCTAGAATTAAAATGCCACATAAATAAGAACTGTATCTGTCTTGTTCAACTCCTGTATCTTCAGTGATTTACAAATAACAACTCAATAGCACATACTGAATAAAGTTATGAAAGCATGGATGTGTGAATGCTTTCTAGGACAGTTAGAAGGATCAGATTAGACAGGGTGGAGAAAAAAGCCAGACTCGCAGGAGACACTGAAAAGTGTTAGTTCTTTTCTTCTCACTGACCAATAAATGAAAATACTGAATGATATTGAATGCACAAACCAACAAAACTTCTTTTATATGTGAAATAGTAATGACTTTAAAAGAAGAGAAGCATTCATCAACATATAATACTTGAAACTCCATTGGAAAATCTAACTAGAATGTGGAACTAAATTCTCATTTAATCTTATCTCAATGCTTGAATAGAGGAAAGACTATAAATGAGTGCATATACATTTGTGTGTCTGATATTTGACTTACAGAATAATTCTGGCTTGGTTAGAATGATACAACGAAAGAAGCCATAACACACTGTTTGGATATAAGCATGAAAGTTTTACTGTTAATTTGTCACTCTGATTCGTATTACGTAGTGTAAAATCTATTGATAAAATCCCAAGGTATTAGGTAGAGGTATAACAATTCACCCTGGACCATCTGTTCCACCAGATTTACCACTGTGGTCTTAGCCATGTGGGTTTTAATCTCCAGAAGGCAGTCTAATTCAGCGGCTGGATAGAACATTTCACAGAAAGAGACAGAGGAAGACGTTTCCATGAGTTATGCAGGTTGAAAAATCTAGTCCTTCCTTGTTCTTTTAATGAGCTATATTTCAGTTTCTTCTGGAATGTAGGATTAATTAGAATGCTTCTATCCCAGTAGGTATTTGTGAAAAACACAAACTACAGCTGAGTTTTTCTCATTTTACTATAATTGGGTCCCTTCATTAGACAGCCCTATTGCTTCTGTGTTACACTTTTTATTTCAATCTATGCTATGTCTATGTCAAGCCATGCTACAATACTTTTCATTTTCATGAGAGTTCTTATCCACGAGAACAAATTTAAGATGTGCTTGACCACATAACAAACTAAATGAAAACAAAACAAATTTTGGAGGGCTTTTTAAATAAATTACCTTTTACAATTTTATTTTTAAATTTTTTCAGCTTTATTGAGGTATAGTTGACAAATAAATTGGTAAGGTATTTTAAATGTACATTGTGATAATTTGATATAGACATATGGTAAAAGGATTTCTCCCATCTAGTTAATTAACACATACGTCACCTCACATATTTATCCTTTTTTTTTTTTTGGTGAGAACATTAAGTTCTACTCTTAGCAAATTTCAATTATACAATACGGTGTTATCAGCTAATAGTCACCATGTTATCCACTAGATCCTCAGACCTTATTTATCTTATAGTTATACCGTTTTACCAGCCTCTTCCTGTTTCCCCCATCCCTCAGCCCCTGGCAAACAGTTTACTAATCTCTGTTTCTATGAGTTTGACTTTGTTTTTAGATTCCACATGTAAGCGATACTACATAACATTTGTCTTTCTCCGTCTGGCTTATTTCACTTAGTATAATACCCTCATGGTCCATCCATGTTGCCACCAAAGGCAGGATTTCCTTCATTCTCTGGGCTGAATAATATTCCATTGTATGTGTGTGTGTATGTGTCTATATATGTACATATATATACATACATATATATGTATACATATGCATATAAATACACATATATACATACATAATGTGTATATATGTATATATACACATATATACATATATACACACATACACACACACTATGATCTTTTACAGTTTAAATGCTTCAAAACATTCAGCAGCACTCATTACTAATAAAAATTAAGGATGCTTTTTCAGAAGAAACACTTTAGAAAATTATCATTAACAATTGAAGCACTTCTAGATTTAACAAAATGGAAACCATTTAACAGAAAACTAAGTGGATTCACATTTGTAAAATACTCTAAGAACACTTTCGTAGCAATCTTTAAAATCCTAAGACCTCTATGTCTCCAAATACTAGATAAGTTCTCTCATGTAATTAATTTGCTTTCTAAGAATTATTAGTCCACAAATAGCTTGAACTAAGAACAAAACAATTGAGGATGCTCATAATTTGAAATTCTACCCATGAAGTACGTTGGTTGAACTTTTCCAAATACATCAAAAGACATTAATTTAGACTCCACTAATTTAGACATCTGATAATTCAGGTTGAAGTTGTCTATGATTTAGAAAACTTAAGGCAAAATAATTATTAGGACAAACATCTAGAAAATGTTTAAACAGTAGGGAAGAATATTTTCATCATGCAAAAAAATAATTTATTGTAACAATTTACATGATAATTACAATTCTTACAGATCTATTAAAACATTTTGTTCCCTAAGGACTTGCAATAGGCCTGAAGTTACAGAATAAACCTGAATGCAATATAATAGCGATGATTTAACATGTAGAGCTTTTCCACTGGATTTTCTAAGTGAATGAAGTAAGGACTTGGAATTTGTAATGACAACAACAGAAGATGAGATTTGAGTGCTTTCTACTTGCCAGGCACTGGGCTAAGAATTTTATAGGTAATATAAATTTTATTTTTACAACAGCCTTATCAAATCATCATTGTTATTGTCATTCATTTTACAGATAAGACAACTGGCAACTTGTGAGTTTGCCTGAGGTCACACTATTCATGTGGGTGAAGAAAGGACAAAATTCCTATCTGAATGACTGTGGAGCTTATCACTTCTGAGCTATGTGCTTTATAGTAAAAGTATTAAAATTCCTTCATGTTGCTTTCAAAACAGTGGTATATTCTTTTATATAATGATTTATAAATGAATCAATAATATTAATAACTTTCGGTTTAGTAACTCCATTTATTAACCAACTTTTTACTATGAAAAATGTCAAATAAACTGAAAGGCTAGAAGAATAGCACAAGGATTATCTGTGTCCCTACCACCTAGGTTTGCATCTAACGCGGCCCCATCTTTTCTTTATCTACTTTCAATCCAGGTATTTTTATATGTGTGTACAGATAAATACACAGATTTTTTTTTATGAACCATTTGAAAGTAAGTTACAGATATCATAAAACTTCACCCCAATACTTCAGCGTATCCTGAAAATAAGAACATGTTCCTAAATAAATATAACACCACTATCATATATAAGAAAATTAACTACAATTCCATAATATCCTCTAATATCTAGTTCACATTCAAATATTCCCTATTACTCAAAAATGTCTTTACCAATTCTTTTTTCTTCTCAAACCAGGATCCAGTAAAAATCCACACACTGCTTTTGGCTGTTCTATTTCACGAGTCTCTTATTCTATAACAGTCCTCCCATATTGTCTCCCCATGACATTGACTTTTTGAAGAGACAACTGTCTTATTAGATGTCTTATATTCTGATTTTGTCTTGTGATTTTAGCTCAGGTAATCTACCAAATGAAAATAACAACTAACAGAAGAGGAAAAGAATCTAAGTACAAAGAATTTTATCATAGCCATGTGTCATTGAAAACAGTTGAGGCACTTAAGGAATAATATAATAACATATAGCAGCAGTTCTCAAAATGTGGTCTGGGAGCCCAGGGATTCCCCGACCCTGTCAAGGGGGTCCTCAAAGTCAAAACTATTTCCATAATGTCTAAGCTATAATTTGCCTTTTCTACTCTTATTCTTTCACATGTGTACAGTAGAATCCTCTAGAGGCTAAATGACATATGATGACACCATTGCTTTGATGGCTAATGGATGTATGCTTGCATGTTCTTGTGTTTTTCAGATTTTGTTTTTT